TAACGTAAACCATCATCGTCATCGTCTAATTGTATTGGTTTAATGCCACTGGTTGATGAAGTCATAGGATTAGTCGTTTGTTGTTGATTTATATTATTTGTTGTAGGACGAATCTGTCATTTAATTAAACGAACAAGTTCAGGTTCGGTTGTCATAAAATAAGGTTTCTATTTGAAAAAAAACGGTATAAAGTTTATAATTAATAAAAACCGAGTTACTTGACAACGTTGAGTAATTCTATCTTCATTTCCTTCTGCATATAATTGTTCTGCTCCATCTTGTAATTATTGTGTCATTTGTGCTGCTTGTTCATAAGATTTAGTCGCAAAAAATGATATTCTCAAAAATTGATAATCATTATATTGGTTTCTGATGAAATTCTTAGAGTATATGAAATATAGTTACTATATTTCTCTTATATTTGATCACTTTTTATATTATGATGTAGAAATTTGACTACACCAAATACCATCTAAACTATTCGAAATCGTTGCATCATGCTGTAAGATAAGTTCATGAATTTTTTTGAATAGAGAAGAGTATTTAAAAAAGTTAAAAAATAGATGCAATAGTGTGATGAATCGGAACGAGTATTTCGAACATTTGACGAAATAAATACTATTTCTATATTTCGTTTTAGTTCTATCATCACTAATTTGTTTTACTGATGAAATTTTCCTTTAGACGGAAAGAAATTAATAACACTATCCAAGATTTCTGATAAAACGAAAGTTCCTCTAAGTGAATGAATTCAGTAGCCAGGAAAACGGTTTCGTTTAGTGGATGTGGATTTAGCCAATGAACTAGTCTACTCTGACATCCAAGTGCAAATCGCATTAATATTTAGCGATAGATGAGGATGTGAGTCAACTCTTGTATAACAGACACAATCAGACCCCATCCACATTCACACTCCTAAAAAAACCTACGAGATCAAAACGTGAAACCCTATTGAACTGCTGTTAATAATAAAAGGAGATGTTCAACAAATCTATTGAAATCAATACTGTATGTAATCAATACTCTGTTCGATTGAACACGCAAAATGATATGAATTCTGTTCTATAGCCTTGGAATTTACCTATAAATTGATAACTTTCTCTTTTAGTAATTCTTAGAAATATTCAGTAGAATTTGATTTTTGAGGGTATCTCCATTACGGTATATATATGAGGAAGGAGTAGGAAAAGAGGATGTAAACTTCTTGATCTACATTTATGGTTGTTCATCTTTGAATGTATGGGAAACTGCATTCAACTCACAACGTCTGCCTACAACTTATATCTGTCTTAATTGACGTTCATTCATCATTGAAGTATGGTTTTATGCTTTTTCTTTTGGTTCGAGATGGGAGATACCATTTCGAGGCCAATACATGTCACAGTCGACAAATCAATGTTTGATTTATTATTTGTCTAATCATTCTCTTTACGGATAATTTTAATGATGACACCGGTGGAAGTAAAATCCTCTGATTAAATCAATAGTATTAAGTTGCATTCGTTGTTAATATAGTCTTCGTCGTCGTTTGATCTATTGAGGTCAATGCCGATAGGTTGAATTGCATCGAACGGTTTTGCAATTCAATTGCATATGACGAAGGAATTTTTTCTGTCATAATCTGATTACTTCTAACGTTTCCCCTTTTGATGGATTTATTGAGTCCTCCAATAGAATTAATGTTGTCAGAAATTATCAGATTTTTTCTTTTCAACATCATACGATAAATCATTTCCCATGTACAATGACAGTTTAAACAAGAGTTTACAATTAAATTCTTTCCATTGATACCATCGGAATAGATCGAATTATCAAAGAATCTAGTTATTCAAATTTCAATAAGATATTTGAAAATCTTTATTTTAAACTATATCCACAAAAGAAATAACTCAACGTGATAAGTCAATTAATTTCAGATAAAAATAAAACGACTGACTATAAGACTTAACTGGAAATTTTTACATAAAATATGCATCAGTCTATGGATAAAACACCGTTACCAATTGAAACTCTTAACAATCGATCATGCACTACAAATAACTGAGAAATTTTTGAAGAAAAATAAAGATGCTTGAAATATCAGAAAACAAAGATTTTTTCTTATTTGAAGTAAAAATACAAAGTACTTTAGTTCATACTCAAGTATAAGCACGAAATATTTCTCTCCAAATACAAACATAAGTGATGTACACTTCGTGAATAACAGTTCTTTTACTTTTTACTTTAGCTAAATTAGAATAGTGAATATAGGAATACTTTCGTTTTAGTCTTGATGAGATCAAATTTGTTCTTGTCAATGATCTACTAAGCTTGAATTGAGTATCTATGTTATGGTGTTACTTTAAAGTAGTGATGCATATTCAATATTTATATTACTATAAATAATGTGGGAATAGAGGTAAAATGTGTGGGATTCGAGCGCCATCTAAATATCCGAACAAATAACTGGTCAAAAACAAAACGAAAGAAAGAAAAGATCAACAGATAAAAGTAATGTTAATGTTTACTCGGTTTGCGCCTTCTCTATGTATCAGTATTCGAACCGTCATTTTTGGTAAAAATATCATAAGGTAATGTTTTGTTTTATTTTTATTTTTATGAAGAAATAATTGTTATAGAAAAATGAGTGGTCTTGGTTCATGTTGTGTTGATCCTGGTGCAAAACAAACTCACCAAGCACAAGGTCATGAAGAAGAAATAGCCGGAGTAAATACTTATAAAACAGGTCAAGGAAAATCAGCCATTGTTATCTTTACGGACGTTTTTGGGTATTCTTTTATCAACGTTCGAAAATTGGCCGATAGTTTTGCTGAAGGTACTCAAACAACAGTTCTTATTCCTGATTATTTCAATGGAGATCCAATTAGCCCTAATGCCCCTAATGTAATGGATATATTACCTGATTGGTTAAAAAAACATCCTCCAACAGATGCATGCGCTATTGCTGAAAAATTTATTTCGACTGTTAAAGGACATTATCAATCAATTCAAGTAAATAATAAATGTTTAGTTATTCAATGATTTTATTTCTTTTTAGGTTATTGGTTTTTGTTATGGTGCTAAAGCAGTTGTTCATTTAATAACATCTAATGAATATTTATCAACAGTCAAAGCAGCTGTAGTTGCACATCCATCATTTTTAGTAAAAGAAGAAGCTAAACAAATCCAACGACCTATTCTCTTTTTATGTGCTGAAAATGATTTTCTTTTTACTCCTAGTCTTCGACAAGAATTTGAAAATGAATTAACTGCAAATGGTCTTGGAAGATTTATTGAATATCCTGGTACAGTTCATGGATTTGTTGTTCGACCAGATGATTCAGAACAAGTGCATCAACAAAGAGATAAGGCTGTTCAAGATGCTATTCAATATTTTAAAAACAATATTTAGTTTTTTTACAAACAAAACATTCGCTTTTTTTTCAAACCTTTTAAATAAAAGAAGATTGAGACGAACTTCTATATCCTCTTTCTGAATATTCATGATAATCATTCATAAGAAACTTTCGAGACTATTGAAAATATCACGTTTATGATTAATTTATGACGAGCAATGGACGAGAGAAGCTTCATTTATTTAAAAGAAATTAAATCAAATAAACAAATGTTTAATACTTAATCAATATGTGAGTAACGGGTGACCCATCATAAATGGCCGCACTTTGCATTGCATATTTTAATTTCAAAATACGTATTATTAAAAAAAGAAAACTATACCACGAGATGAAGCGTGAAAAGCTCTACAATCTAGGAAGTAAAGCTTATTTTAATTGCGCACTTTTTCTTTTAAAAACTATGTACGACCAATTTTCGCCGTTGTGAAAGCATCATTTTTTTCAACATGGACGAGAAATTTCTTTTTTCTTATTTCATGTATAAAACAAACTGCTGTGTGCAAATTGTAGAGCTTTTCACGCTGCATCTTTGGGCATAATTTATTTTTATTTACGAAATCATATCCGATGATAAAAAGATGAAAAAAGAAATTTCTCGTTCGTATAGAAAAAGATGATGTTTTCGCAAAGACAAAAAAAGACCTTATGGAATTTTGCTTTTTTTGAAAACAAAAAGTGCACAATTAAAAAAGCTTTACATTGTAGATTGTAGAGCTTTTCGCGCTGTATCTCATGGTATAGTTTGTTTTTTAATAATACGTATTTTGAAATTAAAATACGCAATGCAAAGTGCGGCCATTTATG